TTGCCAAACTGATTTTTTAGGATTCAGTGGTGCAGAATTTTAAGAAAAATTGGTGGAATAAGAGGGTGAAATGTTCTCACGCTGGGCTGGCAACGCAGGAGCTGGGCAACGGCGATTGCTAAGGGCTGAGCCGCAGGGTGTATGTGAATGAGCAGATGGAGGAGGAACAGGGTGTTGTGAAGAAATCCATAAATTTTGTGCAGCTTGTGGTTGTTCCCGAAATGAAAGTAAAGACTTCCTGTTATTTTGAAATTATTGTTGATTGCTGGACTGTCTCTGTACGACTATGTCAGTATTCTGAGACTGAACTATGGGGGTCATAATTTTTCTAATTAGTCTTATAATGTAACATAAATTCATGTAAAAATAAGTCACAGTTACAATCGCCACATGGAAAGAAGGCCTTAAGATTACACTGCTTGCAAAGAAAGACATGGATAAGAAAAACATCTTAGGTCCATGGTTTCTAAGTCTTGGGAGGCATAAGACTCACCAGGGGAGCATTTAAAAATACAGACCCTAAGACCCCATCCCAAGGAGTTTTGATGCTGCTGTTTGGGATTGGGGTCTAGGAATCTGCATATTTCATTGTCCCCACATAATTCTAATGCAGGGAGTTTATGAACCCTGCCCTGACACCTCCAGACAGCTTTTTGTGCCAGGGGCTCCTGTAGTTCAACTACAGAACTGTAAACATACCCGTTGCCCCAAAGAAATGTTCGGGGACAATCCCTATTGCATTCTTCCTAGTCACATTTGCTGAGGCACCTCACCTTCTCTCTGACTCAGTCCCCACTCCCACCCTTGAAATCTGTAGATTAACTAAAGACAATAATTAATTGTTTTTTTTTAATTACAAAATCAGCATTTACCTAAACCCCTCTCCAAAACTAACACAAGCTATTAAATCATATTCCCTGGGGTCCTCTCACTAATGAACATTTTTATAAAATATTAACAGAAAGATAATTGAAAAGAGGAGTTGGTTGTGGATTGTAAGGAGAAATTTGCTTGACTACATAACAAAATGCTGACATGAAAACAGGAAATGATTTGCTTCCTGGTGCTTTATAAGAAGTTGCAGTTGTCTAAGTGGAAGGATTTTCACCCATAATCAACTTTGGCTGTAGATTAAGCAGGTTGTCCATTTTAAAACCATACGATACGAACACTTACGCTTATCTCCCGGTAGGGTCTGCCCAGAGCTTTCAGAACCTGGATGAGCACCCACCCACTGTGCCTAGTCATAAATACCAAGTGTTCCAAAGGCAACGGTGCTCAGTCTAGCCTGTTGCCATTCATCACGCAGGTGACACTGAAAACTGTGATCACTGCGGCAGAACTCGTAAGATGAAACAAGCCATCATGAAATATCAGGTTTTTATGGGAACCTTGGAGGATGAACTTTACAACAAGCCAGCTCATTCTTTGCAGGGAAGATACTTCCGTGACCTTTTGGTAAACATGCACAGTAGCTATCCAGGAAAGAGTTGTATCGATTGGTCAGCTCTAGAGACAGAGGAGGAGAGACCTCGGGTCAGGAACACTATCCACCCAGGTTACATCCTCCGCACCTGCCGGATCTCCTGCCGAAAATAATGATTATGTCCTGCCAAACCTGGAGATATGATATCTTGATGTTATTTCAAATAATTTTCAACTGTGTAAAAACATATTTCCCTTGTCTCAGCCATAGCTCTGCTAGGGATTAATAAGGTGGTGGTAACAAAGAAGAGGAAAGGCAAATGGAGAAAAGGTGAAACCATTTTACATTTTATACACTTGAGCAAACTTCCTTTAGGAGACTAATTCAATGAGACGCCAACCTGTTAGCAGAAGTCTTATTTCATAAGAAGTACTAAAGCTATTGAAGGAGTAAAGTTGCCTAAATTTTAAACTCTAGTACCCAGATACAAGGAGATGATTTTTAAAATATTTTCTTTGTCTTCTTTTTATATATATATAATTTACTGTAGAGGTAAAACATTCACAGTGTGTAGAAAATGTAAAAATGTAACATATTTTGAAGACAATGCTATAGTGATTAGCACATTGGTTTCTAGTATCAGAGATGTTGTAGCTGCCTTTTAAAAAGCTGGGGATGAGGGAGAAGGAAGGGAATGGGAGGGTCGGGGAACGTGTAGCAAGGTCTCATGGACAAAACCAAAGGGGAAGGATTGAGGGAGGGAGTCGGGGGGCAGGCAGGGGGACGTGGTGGGGGGAAGGTAGAGACAAATGTATTTGAAAAACTAGAGAAAATAAATAAATTTTTAAAAAGTCATTAACCAACCGAATAGGCTTGGCTTCACATCCAGAACTACTGGTGATATCTCAGTTGCTTTTCCTATGGACTTGGTGGAACTAGGCACAAAAGCTTGAGACTCAAGGCAAACACATGTCACTTTATAGACCAGTAAGTCTAAAGCTCTCCATTTCCAAGAGGAAAGAGTTTATGTCACATCCTGTTTTGTAAATAAGACTTGACATCCAAAATATTCTAAAGAGAATGCAACTGACAGCGTGTGTTGGGCTGGATATGCTACCATGGGCGTCTGAACTCAGAAAAATAGCAAAGCATGTCACACAGCTGGGGCTGGCCACCTTTCTTAAAATAGTTGAGCATTTGGCAGAACAGAGTTTGAAGTGTATGGTTCTCAAGAATGACACAACCATGTCTTTTTCAACCGAGAATGTTTTACCAGCTTAAAATAGGATGAGAGGAGCTACTGAATTTGCAACACTTAAAAAATATTTTCTAAGATTGATAAATATGACAAAATCTTTACAGAAAAAAATGTTAATAAATTTTGATTCATACCAAACATGAGGCCCTTAAAAGGAATTCTGGAGTTTAGCAGTCAAAAAAGATCAACAAGTTTCTCTAAAAAGGAACGCAGAGGCTGACCGATGTGACTTGGTTGGGTGTCATCCTACAAATGAAAAGGTTGCAGGTTCGATTCTTGGTCAGGGCACATGCCTGGGTTGTGGGTTTGATCCCTGGTAGGGGTGTGTACATGAGGCAACCAATTGATGTTTCTCTCCCTCTTCGTCTCCCCCATCTCCTCTCTCTAATAAATAAACAAAATATTTTTACAAAAGGAGTGCAGAATTTAGCTCCTTGATATGTTTTCCTTCTATTAAAAATTAGTATCTGGACTTCTTCCTGAGTAGAAGACAAAACCTGAAGATGTTGAGGAGAAGACAACCTCTGTAGGGTGCTCAGGGGTGAGAACTCAGCTTTCCATCATGGCATTTCAGAACCATTTTTTTAGGTATAAGAAGAAGAGATTTTCTCTAAAAAGGTACCTAACTACATATTTAAATTTACTTGTTTCTATATACATTGCCTATACATTATTATTAATATTTTTTTACTTTTTTATTGAAATTATTGAAGTGGCATTGGTTAATAAAATTACATAGGTTTCAGGTATACAGTTCTATAATACATCATCTGCATACTGTATTGTGTGTTCACCACCCCGAAGCCAAACCTCTTTTCATCACCACTTAGTCCCCCTTTACTCTCTTCAACCTCCTCCCACCCTCTTTCCCCTGCCTGTGTCCCTTCACCTTTTCACCAAGTCCCCCAACACCCCCTCCCCTGACAGCTGTCAGCCAGCTCTCTATGAATAAGTCTGTTTCTATTCTGTTTGTTTGTTCAGTTTGTTCATTAGATTCCACATATGAGTAAAATCATATGGTACTTGTCTTTCTCTGACTGGCTTATTTCACTTTGCATCATGCTTTCCCGGTCCATCCACACTCTCACAAAGGGTAAAATTTCCTTCTTTTTTACTGTTGAGCAGCAGTCCATCATGTAAATGTACCACAGATCTTTTTGTCCACTCATCTGCTGATGGACGCTTGGGCTGTTTCCAAATCTTGGCTATTGTAAATAATAGTGCAGTGAACATAGGGGTGCATATATTCTTTTGAATTAGTACTTTGGGTTTCTTCAAATATATTCCTAGAAATGAAATTGCTGGGTGATAAGGCAGTTCCATTTTTAATTTTTTGAGATCACTCCATACTGCTTTCCACAGTGGCTGCATAATCTGCATTTTCACCAACAGTGCACGAGGGTTTTCCTCTCCCCACATCCTCACCAGAACTTGCTGTTCATTGATTTATTGATTGTAGCCATTCTGACAGGTGTGAGATGATAGCTCATTGTGTTTTTAATTTGCATTTCTCTGATGGTTGGTGACCTTGGGCATCTTCTACTGGCCATCTGTATGTCCTCCCTGGAGAAGTGTCTATTCATGTCCTTTGCCCAATTTTAATTGAGTTGTTTATTTTCTTGGTGTTGAGTTGTATATGTTCTTATAAATATTAGATATTAACCCCTTATCAGATGTATCTGATGGTGAATATGTTCTTCCATTCAGTGGGCTGTCTTTTTATTTTGTTGATGGTTTCCTTTGTTGTGTAAAAACCTTTTAGATTAATGTAGTCCCATCTGTTTATTATTTATTTTGTTTCCCTTGCCTGAGAAGACATATCAGAAAAAAATACTACTATGAAAAATGTTGGAGATATTACTGCCTATGTTTCCTTCTATGATGTTTATGGTTTTGAGTCTAACATTTAAGACATTTTGAGTGTATTCTAGTGTAAGGTGTAATTTGGTGGCCTAGTTTCATTTATTTTTTCATGTACCTGTCCAGTTTTCCCCACACCATTTATTGAAGAGACTGTCTTTACTCCATTGTATGCTCTTACCTCTTTTGTCAAATAATAATTGACTATATAGGTGTGGGTTTATTTCTGGGCTGTCTATTCTGTTTCATTGGGGAGTGTGTGTGTGTGTGTGTGTGTGTGTATTAAACACAGGCAATTAAACACCAATTAAACAACAGGAAAAATTTTTATGCTAAAATCGAATGGATTGTATTAAATTGTACTAAAAATCCTGCTCATAAATGATGACTTCTTAAATAAAAACAATTGCTCTTCTTCTTAAATATTTCTTTCTCTTTCTACCTTGATTTCCATAGGATGGATTTATTGACTTTTTAGAGTTTATTGCTGCTGTTAATCTAGTTGTACAAGGAAAAATGGAGCAAAAATTAAAGTGGTATTTTAAGCTGTATGATGCTGATGGAAATGGTTCTATTGACAAAAAAGAACTACTAAACATGTTCATGGTAAGTGAAGTGGTAAAATATCCTTTGCAGGGTGTTACATAGTTCATTCAATTTCCCTCCCTATGGAGTAGTGACAGCTCTTTAGGTGCTTGGCTATTTTGGAAATACACATTTGGCATTGATGAAACAACGCGAGTTTCACTATCTTATTGGTTACTGAGTGTAAAACTGCAAATCAACATTTTCTTCTCAGTGTAGTCTATTCCGAAGTTCACAAATTTAGCAGAGTATTGAGATGAAAAGTGAAATAAACATAATGTAAAACAACTTACCTTTTTTTCCCTGCCTCGGTGAGAAAGTGTTGCTGGGAGGGTCTATAACGCAAGATGGCTTATATAACAAAAGGTGTGGACTAAGAATAAAGGCACCTGAGGACTAATATTTCTGGGAGCTGGACTAAAGTATTTCTAATAAATAGCTCCAGAATTCCCAATCCTTTCCATCTCTAAAGTCCTTTTATAAATCTTGTTCCCCTTCACCAATGGAGTGGGGGTAATTACTGTCACTGGATGAGATAAAATGGATTTTCAAAGTAAAAGATGATTAAGTGAGAGATTTTACCTAAATGAAGATATAAAGTAAAATAAACACAATGAAGGTAATACAATACACTGAATTTATAACAGAATCAGAGTTATAATCAAATGTCTTAGAAACAATCTGGTTGAAATTCTTTCATTTATAGATGAAGGAACCAAGTTACACATATAATTTAGAGTAGAAATATTAGTAAAAGTGCAAAAAGAAGGTAGAACTACAATTTTAATTAAATACTTCAATAAATGGACAAAGTTGTTAAAATTTAAAACTTTTAGCAACTGTATAGTTAATCAATATATGGAAAGAATTCAAAAGTATAATACTAATATGGTTTCCACTTTAATCTCACATAGACAATTCACAGAAAAGTATTAAAAAGCACTTTGTAATCAACTTTGTAAGTATTAAATTTAGAAATTCTGCATACATACTACAGGTTGCACCACAAAATTAAGAATCTACAATATTCTACAAAGAGTGCCTAACCTCATGTAAATTTCAAAATATCTTTTTAAATAAATATACTCAAACTTATTTTAAAAACACTGAATACCCCACACAGTGTACAAATACTAGGAGAAGCCTCTGAGGCAGTACTGAGAGCAGGGTTTCATATCCTGGGGTCTGTGCATAAGGGATACTCGAGGCCTTTGAAACTGAGGGCAATATTTTGCCTGTGTGTTTCCACCATCCCTGCCACCCACTTAGAGCTGTCATACTGCTCTCTATATGAGTCTGTCTCTATTTTGTTTGTTAGTTCAGTTTGTCCATTAGATTCCACATGTGAGTGAACTCATATGGTGTTTGTCTTCCTCTGACTAGCTTATTTCACTTAGCATAATGTTCTGCAGGTCCATCCATGCTGTCACAAAGAGCAATTTTTTCTTTTTTATGGCCAAGTAGTATTCCATTACATAAATGTACCACAGCTTTTTTATCCACTCATCTACTGATGGGCACTGGACTGCTTCTAAATCTTGGTGATTGTAAATAATGCTGCAATGAACATAGGGGTGCTTATATTATTTCAAATTCCTGTTTCGGGTTTCTTCAGATAAATTCCCAGAAATGAAATTGCTGACTCATAAGTAAGTTCCATTTTTAATTATTTGAGGCAGCTTCACACTTCTTTCCACAGTGGTTGCACCAATCTTCATTCCCACCAACAGTGCAAAAGGGTTCCCCTTTCCCCACAGCCTTGCCAGCACCTGTTGTTTGTGGATTTATTGACGTTAGCCATTCTGATCAGTGTGAAGTGATACCTCATTGTGGTTTTAATTTGAATTTCTCTGATGATTAGTGATGTTGAGCATCTTTTCACATGTTTATTGGCCATCCATATGACCAATAAGTGTCTATTCAGGTCCTTTGCCCATTTTTTAATTAGATTTATTTTTTGGCTCCTTGCTCATCTCCCCACCATGCTTCTCCTGTAAGAAGAGGGGAAACATAGGGCTTGACGACTCCCTCCAAAAATATTATCCCCTCAAGCCTTATCACCCTCCAGTCAATCCTTCACTCTAGCATGCATTGCCAGGGGATAGGTGATGGACAAGTCCTAGAAATTTTATAATCTTTTATTATGACTCTTACATATGAGGTCTAAAGTTACTTCAGCATGTGAGAATACTGGAGGCCTTGCCACATTTTCTAGGCCTTGGGGGTCTCTGCTAAGACATTGAAAAACCTAAAAACTTCATCTAATACAATGCTAAATGGATGTAACCATTACTCCAAGTATTACCTATAATTAACATTGAGACCCTGAATTGCTAAGGCCAGGAGTGTTACTTTGCCACTGTTTTTATGATTTAAAAACTGTGGATTCGGGATTAGTCATGCTTGAGAAATAGCAAAAGTTACAATCATATTTTATTTATTTAAATTGTTGCTCAATTACAGTTGGCCCCATTTCCCCCCCATTATTCTCTTCTGCCCTACCCACGTCCCACCTCCCACATACAATTCCTGTGTCCTGTTGTCTTTGTCCATTAGTCCTTTATACATTTGCCTTGACTTCACCCTTCCCCTTCTTTTCCCTGTTATCACCTCTGGACACTGTCAGTTTGTCTTTATTTCTATGTCTCTGGTTACATTTTGCTTGCTTGTTTGCTTTGTTGATTAGGTTACAGTTATAGGTGAAATAATATGGTATTTCTTTCACCCCCTGGCTTATTTCACTTAGTATAATGCTCTCCAGTTCCATCCATGTGGTCACAAAGGGTAGCAGTTCTTTCTTCTTCTGCTGTATAGTATTCCATTGTGTAAATGTACCAGTTTTTTGACCCACTCATTTACTAATGGGCACTTAGGCTGTTTCCAGCACTTGGCTATTGTAAATAGTGCTGCTATGAACATTGAGGTGCATAGGTTCTTTTGAAGTGGTGTTTCAGGGTTATTACGGTATAATCCCAGCAGTGGAATTGCTGGGTCAAAAGGCAGTTCCATTTTTAGTTTTTTTGAGGAAATTCTAAACTGTTTTCCACATCAGCTGCACCAGTCTCCATTCCCACCAAGATTGTACTAGGTTTCCGTTTTCTCCACAACTTCATTAGCGCTTGTTGTTTGTTGATTTGTTTATAAAGGCCATTAAGACTGGTGTGAAGTTGTTTCTCATTGTGGTTTTAATTTGCATCTCCCTGATGGCTAGTGATGCTGGGAATCCTTTCATATGTCTCTGAGCCTTGTGTATGTCCTCTTTGGAGAAGTGTCTGTTCAGGTCCTTTGCCCATTTTTTAATTGTATTTTTTGTCTTCCTGGTGTGGAGTTGTGTGTTCTTTATATATTTTGGAGATCAAACCCTTGTCCAAGGTATCATTGGCAAATATGTTTTTCTATACAATTGATTCCCTTTTCATTTTACTGATGTTTTCTTTTGCTGTGCAGAAGCTTTTTAATTTGATGTAGTCCCATGTTTTTAATTCTTTCCTTTATGCCCCTTGCTCTAGGGGACATATTGGTGAAAATATTGCTGAGTGGAATACCTGAAATTTCCTTGCCTATGTTTTCCTCTAGGACTTTCATGGTGTCATGACTTACATTTAAGTCTTTTATCCATCTTGAGTTTATTATTTTGTATGGTGTAAGATGGTGGTTGACTTTCACCTTTGTGCTTGTAGCCGTCCAGATCTCCCAGCACCATATGTTGAAAAGGCTATTTTTATTACATTTGATGTTCTTGCCCCCTTTGTCAAATTTAATTGACTGTAGAGACATGGGCTAAGATACAGTCATATTTTAGATCATGCCCTCTAATTGAAATGTGTTGCCACCAGTTTTTCTAAAAATTCCTTGATGTTCAATCAAGATAGTTATATTCAAATTCCAGATGACTAATTGATTCTCTGTGTGTTTTTTTCATCTTATTATGAATTTCTATGTCAATTATGGGCCATTTAATTTAATTGCCTGAGGTGGGGAGCAGGGATAAGGGCTGGGGGCTTAAATCTTCCATCAGAAAATCTGGAAATGTCATTTTCCTTGAGTCCCCTAACAGTTTTTATGATGAAAATGTGCTGGCAGAGTGCGAGAGAAATTCAATGTCGTTCTAAGACACACATATCTGTCTCCCCAGCCAAACATTCTATTAAAGGGCACAAAGGACCAGAGGTACCATTGTCAGAAGCCATAAAGGAAGCCTTAGAAACTAACAGATCATCTTTTTATGTTCATCCATAAGATCAAAGATGATAGGTCTGAAATGGAAAATATTGCCTCTTCTCTGGGTCTGTAATTGTTATGACAGTGAGTGCTACAATTTTTTTTTCTAGTGGGTTCTTGGCATCTTTTTTGACCTAATATGTTAAATGGATCCCTCTGTGCTATATAAAATCAAGCTTCAGACTGTATTCAGTTCATTTAACTTCCAAGCCTCATTACTCTGAACTGACATAAAATCTTTTTTATTTTTAAGAACTAGAACAGGTTAGATAGCAAAACTCACATGCACACATCCCCATTTCTGTCACATGGAGTAGGGATGCCATAAAATGTGTTCATTTCTGGCAAAATTAACCTCCCTGACTTAATTTTTCTTTGCAGACTGTACAAGCCCTCAATAGCCAGCAAACACTGAGTCCTGAAGAATTCACCAACCTGGTGTTTCATAAGGTTGATATAAACCATGATGGTAAGGCAACTACTCTTCTGAAGCTCACTTTTCTTACAAAGTAAGAGATGGTGGTGCTGGGCATGCCACTTAGACAAAAGCATGAACCTTTCAAGAGAACCCTAGTTGTGGGGTCATTTAAGCTACGTAATTTGACCAGTCCATTCTTTTCTTATTGGTACAATTCAATTGAGCGAGTATTTATTGACCATATTTATATTCAATATCTGGTGCCTGAGACTTTAGGATGAAGAAGAGTAAAGGGAAGATACCAGCAAAGAAAAGTGGGAGACTCTGAGGTGAAGACCTGCTGCTGTTTGCTCTGGGACACACTCTAGTCATTATTTCCTTCCTACTGGAGGTTTCTCATCAACCTACAAATAAACTTTAGTCTTCCTTACTGAACAAATCCTTCCTTCAATAATTCTATCTTCTTCTACTATCAATTTTTATTTCTTCCCTTTGGCTACACATTTCTGGAAACAGTTGTCCATACTTATCTCCATTTCTGCTCTTTCTACCTTTTCTACATTTCTACTCTTTCTGCTCATTTCCCCATCTGCTGTTCCTATGCTATACTACGGGTTCTTCTTTGGCTCAAAGGAGGTTCACTTTTTCCGAGGAAGAGTGAAAAGGGAAGACACAGATATTCCAAGAGAAGAGAGAGTGTTCACATAATTGGCTAGGAGAGCATATTAAATGGAGATTGAGGCAACATATCTAGGAATGGTCCTTGAAAAAAAAGAGAGTTTGAAATGCGTAAAATATAATGTTAGTAAGATATTTGTCTTAAAGTATGAATGTGAGGCATTGAGATCCCAGCCATGGTTTTCAACAATCCTCGGTAACTTTTTCCACAGAATCAGCCCGTCTACAGTGGGTCACTTTCTACAGTGGACATTAGAGGGCAGTAGAGACCCATGTGTTGTGTGTGGCAGTTTGCACTTGTAAAATGTGGTGGCTTAACCTGGCAGGATGGGCTACTGAGGAGGCTGAAACGGAGTTTAATGGAATTGCCATTGTGAATGAGTCAAACAAGTGGGCAAGAGTATAATTTTCAGAAAAACAATTTGGAAGTAAATAATAGTATCAATCCTTCTCTTAAGGACTTTGTTCTAGATCAGCCTCACCTCAATCTAAAGTCAGAATGCTCACTTACTAGTTCACCGAGAACTTAGCCATTTGGTGTGAAAGCTTGCAAGAAACAAATGCAGGTTCCCAGAGTTGATCAGTAAGTTAAACGAAGCGAGAAAGATACCAGAGAGATGGAGAGTGGAGGGTCTTATGAACCCAATGAAACCTTATCTGGAATATGCAACCAAAAACAGTGATCACCAAATAGGGGAAATGCTATAGGTTTGTACTACTTTATTTCAATTTTTATACTTAGAGTTCCTGTAGGATGGCAGAGATTGCAGTAGAGAGGTTAAACTGTTTCTTCCTGAGGGTTGAAATCATATTCTGGAAGTAGATAGGAAATCACAAATGTTTAAAACTTAGTATATAGTGAATTTCAAAAGCCAGGTCAAGAATGTTGGAAAATATCTATAGATCCTGTTTCTAGTGCTGGGAGAAGGGGAATAGAAAAAAAAAAAAGTGACCTTCCTGGAGAAATATAAGGATTGTAGTATCCTTTTTTTTTTTCCTGTTTTAGATTTTAACTCTTAATACATATGCTCCAAACTTTTTTTTTAATTGTTCAAATACATTTGTCTCCATTTTCTGCCACCACTTTCCCCTGCCCCTCGACCCACTACCTCCCTCAATCCTTTCCCATTTGGCTTTGTCCATGGGTCCTTTAAATCATTTTTCTTGGCTTGACCCTTCCCTCCCCTTACCCCACCCCTCCCTTCCCTCTTGATTCTGCTGGTTTCATTTTTCTTTCAATGTTGCTGGTTATATTTTCCTTGTTTGTTTGTTTTGTTGATTAGGTTCCACTTATAGGTGAGATCATATGGTATTTGTCTTTCACCCTCTGGCTTATTTCACTTAGCATAATGCTCTCCAGTTCCATCCATGCTGTTGCAGAAGGGTAGTAGCTCTTTCTTTCTTCCTGTTGTGTAGTATTCCATTGTAATAGTGATGCAGAGAATCCTTTCAAATGTCTCTAGGCCCTCTGTATCTATTCCTTGGAGAAGTGTCTGTTCAGATCCTTTGCCCATTTTTTATTTGGATTGTTTGTCTTTTTGGAGTGGAGTCATGTGAGTTCTTTATATATTTTGGAGATCAAACCCTTGTCTGATGTATCATTGGCAAATATATTTCCCATATGGTTGGTTCTCTTTTCATTTTGCTGATGTTTTCCTTAGCCATGCAGAAGCTTTTTATTTTGATGAGGTCACACTTGTTTATTCTTTCCTTTATGTCCCTTGCTTTAGGGGATATATCAGTGAAAATATTGTTGCTTGGGATATCTGAGAGTTCCTGGCCAATGTTCTCCTCTAGGACTTTTATGTTGTTACGACTTATATTTAAGTCTTTTATCCATCTTGAGTTTATTTTTGTGTATGGTGTAAGTTGGTGGTCGAGTTTAATTTTTTTGCATGTAGCTGTCCAGGTCTCCCAACACCATTTGTTGAAGAGGCTATTTTTACTCTATTTTATGCTTCTTCCCCCTTTGTCGAATATTAATTGACCATAGAGATATGAGTTTATTTCTGGGCTTTCTATTCTGTTCCACTGATCTATGTGTCTGTTCTTGTGCCAGTACCAGACTGGTTTGATTACAGTGGCCTTATAATGTAGTTTTATGTCTGGTATAGTGATCTCTCTTGCTTTGCTTTTCTTACTTAAAATTGCTACAACTATTCAGGGTCTTTTATGGTTCCATATAAAGTTTTGAAATGTCTGTTCTGCCTGTGAAATACATCATTGGTATTTTAATAGGGATTGCATTGAATCTATAAATTGCTTTGGGTAGTATGGACATTTTATAATGTTAATTCTTCCAATCCATGAACATGGTATATGCTTCCATTTATTTGTGTCTTCCTTAATTTCTTTTTTCAGTATTGTGTAGTTTTCTGCGTAAAGCTCTTTTACCTCCTTGGATAAATTTATTCCTAGGGACTTTATTTTTCTTGTTGCTATAGCAAAGACGATTTTTTTCCTAATTTCTGCTTCTGATATTTCATTGTTAGTGAATAAAAATGCCTTTGATTTCTGAATATTGACTTTGTATCTTGCTGTTTTTCCAAATTCACTTATTAGGTTGAATAGTCTTTTGGTGCAGTCTATGGGGTTTTCCATGTAAACTATCATGTCATATGCAACCAATGATATTTTTACTTCCTCCTCTCCTATTTGGATGCCTTTTGTTTCTTTTTCTTGTCTGACTGCTGTGGCTAGAACTTCCAATACTATGTTGAATAGAAGTAGTGAAAGCAGACATCCTTTTCTTGTTCCCAATCTTAGTGGGAAAGCTTTTAGTTTTTGCCCATTGAGTGTGATGTTCACTGTAGGTTTTTCATATATGGCCTTTATTATGTTGAAATATACCCCACTTATTCCCATTTTGCTGAGTGTTTATATAATACATGGGTGCTGTACCTTATAAATTCTTTTTCTGCATCTATTGAGATGATCATGTGGTTTTTGTCTTTCCTTTTGTTATGTGATGTATTACATTTATTGATTTGCAAATATTGAACAATCCTTGCATCCTTGTGATGAATCCCACTTGATCATTGTGGATGATCTTTTTAATGTATTGGTGGATGTGGTGTGCCAATATTTTGTTGAGGATTTTAGCGTCTATGTTCATCAGCAATATTGGCCTGTAATTTTCTTTCTTTGTTGTGTCTTTATCTCGTTTTGGGATTAGAATGATGCTGGCCTCATAAAAAGAGTTTGGGAGTCTTCCCTCTTTTTGAATTTTTTTGAATATATGAGAAGGACAGGGGTTAGCTCTTCCTTAAATGTTTTGTAAAATTCTCCTGTGAAACTGTCTGATCCAGGGCTTTTGTGTGCTGGGAGTTTTTTGATTACAGCTTCAATTTCCCCAGCTGTTATTGGTATGTTCTGGCTTTCTTCTTCTTCTTCATTCAGTGTTGGAAGTTTATACATTTCTAGAAATTTGTCCTTTTCATTGAGGTTTTCAAATTTCTTGGCATATAATTGCTCATAATTTCTTACAATCCTTTGTATTTCTGTGGTATCAGTTGTTATTTTTCCTCTTTCATTTCTGATTTTATTTATTTGGGTCCTCTCCCTTTTTTCTTGATGAGTCTGCTTAAAGCCATGCCACATATGTTTATCTTTTCAAAGAACCAGCTCTTGGATTGGCTGGTCCTTTGAATTCTCCTTTTAGAGTCTATGTCATTCAGTTCTGCTCTGATCTTGATTATTTCCTTTCTTCTATTTGCTCTGGGATTTGTTTGTTGTTGTTTCTCCAGTTCTTGAAGCTGGAGAGTTAGGTCATTTATTTGAAATGTTTTTTATCTTTTTTAGGTAGGCCTGTGTTGCTATGAACTTCCCTCTCAGAACTGCTTTTACTGTTTCCCATAGGTTTTGGACTGTTGTGTGTTCATTTTCATTTGTTTACAGAAACTTTTTGATTTATTCTCTCATCTCATTATTGACTCACTCATTGTTTAATAGGTGCAATTCAGTCTCCATGAGTTTGAATGTTTTTGAAGTTTTTCCTTGAAGTTGGTTTCCAGTTTCAAGCCCTTGTGGTTCAAGAAAATGCTTGTTATTATTTCAATTTTCCTGAATTTGTTGAGGCTTGTTTTGTGTCCTATCATGTGGTCTATCTTTGAAAATGTTCTGTGTGCATTTGAGAAGACTGTGTATTTTGCTTCTTTGAGTTGAAAGTTTCTATATATGTCAGTTAAGTCCATTTGGTTTAATGCATGGTTCAGTTCCACAGCATCTTTGTTGATGTTTTATTTGGAAGATCTATCCATTCTTGACAGTGGGGAGTTAAAATCCTCTGCCATCAGTGTGTTGCAGTCTGTATCTTTCTTGAAGTCCTCCAAGATTTTCCTTATATATTTGGGTGCTCCTATTTTGGGTGCATA